ACATCCCGTGGTAACTAGGAATTACACAAGCTTCAGTCTGGATCCAGCCCTTTACAACGACCTGAGATGACCGAACACCTGAGAAGAGATGATGCCAACCCCTCAGAGGACCTCAGATGATGCCAACCCTGAAACAACATAAACTACCAAATTTTGCTACATTTTGCTAGTTTGATTGCAACATATAATAATTGCTTTTAATAGTGTTCATCGTCTGTTTGATTACGTCATTAACTGAATTTTACCGTAGATTTCTGCCATATGTACATTAACTGACATAGTCACCACAGACAAGCTCCTACTATATATATATTGTAGAAACTTAATTTTCTGTAAAGCTGCTTTGCAATACGCTTTTTGATATACCATTTAAATATTCATGCATTCAAGAGTTAATCTGTTGCCAGAGATGGACAGGTTTCCTCAGCTAAATAACAAAATCTGGCATTAACTGTCCAATGAATGTTGTTTCTTATGCTCAAATAGCATTTAAAAAGCTTATATTTTAGGTTGGTCCAGCCAATGCGTGCATGTGCAGTCATAAATGCATGTTTCTATGGTAAACAGATCTTTTGACGATAACTGCAGTGATGGGATGACTTTACCAATTGGTGATTGGTTCTTTTGTTTAGAAGGCGGGACTTAATCCGCCAGCTACCCAGCATATATGGTAAAGGTAAAGTTTACAAAAAGTGTGTGTAGTGCTAAGTGATGCAGAACAGATGGAGAGACAGAAACTGGTTTGTCGTCTCTGACAATGACAATCAGTACGATAAGCAGACGTGTGTTTACCGTGACCGTCACTTCAGCATGCGAATAAATCATTTAGATAAAGATTTTATCATGACAGACCGCTGGAGAAAAAATGTGAGCTTCAAACACTCACCAACAAATAAATATAACACTTGCCAATGAGTATTTTTTATTATTATTTCAAGTTAATTTTGAATGCATGTTGTTCAAATTTAACTTGAAGAAATCCTGATGTTCCTGTCTGACCTGTTTTAACAAACTCAGAGGTTTTGAGACATTTTACCTACTACACTTAAAAGGAAGAGACTGACTTATTTCTCTTATTTCTCGTCATACTGACCATTCTCAATTTCTGTGCAAGATCAAAAAAGAAACGGCAATCAGTGGAGAAGGAAGACAAACACTTTGAAGAAGAATCTTTGAGAAATTTGTTTCTGAACAGACAGCAGATCTTTGTGATATTTGTGGTTATTCATTTTTGCAGCCGTCATTCAGTAAGTGATAGTTGGAGCTCAAATGGCTTCCCTATCTGAAGATTTTTCTTGTCCGGTGTGTCATGAAATCTTCAAGGATCCTGTTGTTTTATCATGTAGTCACAGTGTCTGTAAAGAGTGTCTTCAACAGTTCTGGAGAAAGGAAACTCAGGAGTGTCCTGTCTGCAGGAGAAGATCATCAAAAGAGGAACCTCCTCCTAATCTGTTGTTAAAAAACTTGTGCGAGTCATTATTGAAGGAGAGAAATGAGATGTGTTTATCAGGATCTGAGGAGGTCTGCAGTTTACACAGTGAGAAACTCAAACTCTTCTGTCTGGAGGACAAACAGCCTGTGTGTTTAGTGTGCAGAGATTCACAGAAACACGTCAATCACACATTCAGACCAATTAATGAAGTGGTTTCATCATACAAGGTAAGACAAATGTCTCTTGTTTCAAGAGAAATACATTTTCATGCAAGCCCAGTTGGAATTGAATACCATTATTGTTTAAATAAATACCATTACCATTTACAAATTGCATTTTGTTTTTACTCAGGTCTCCTTTGTTTTGTTACATTGTAATATCTCAGTCTATTTAATATGAGATATACACAAAGCACTGTGAAAAGGTTTGCCTGTATTTATCCTGATTTCTTCTGTTTTTATGAACATATCACTGTATGTTCAATATGATCTGGTGTTTTATACACTGAACAAAATTATAAACGCAACACTTTTGTTTTTGCCCCCATTTTTCATGAGCTGAACGTGGGTTTGTTTGCTTATTTATTTTTCGGTTGACGTCATGGAAGAATGCGTGCCACGTAACTTCCGCCCAAATTAGTTAAACAGTGTATGGCGCGACATTGTGCATCTCGCACATGGTTGTTTGGCATTGTACTGGTGTGAGCGTGGAGAGCGGCTGCACACGAGTACACAACTTGTATCGTCCTTTGTTGTGGGTGTGTGTGGCTGATAATACCCGGTAACAAACCTGGCATCGCAGCCGTTGATTTGGAGCTGTACGTCTCTTATCGTGGCTTTTTCCCCTTTCATGTGGCTGATAATACGGGGGTAGGTCGGTTGATTTATTATGTGCCATAAACAGTGCGGTTTTGTTTTAAGCGTGTGTTCTGTTTGTTTCATTGTAGTAACAAATTTGGCAGCACGGTCGCTTAACGTTATACGATGTGTTCAGCCTAATTAGAAAACATTGTGGAGGTAATTGAATTTTGTTTTAATGTTTTATAAAAGTGTAATTAATTGAAATGTATGGTGGAAATGCAAATTGTATATTTTAATAATATATGAATGTAGGTGTATTTAAATGTGTAATTGTGTTTTGGCAGACTTATCTGGGAGCTGGTCATATATTAGACCACTGTTTTCCCAGTACTGAATGTTTATACATAAGTGTTTGTTTTTGTTTCCTTATTTGCATTTGATTTGATTTTGTTATGTTAACATTGTATAGTTTATTTGTTGTTTTTTTAGTTTTCTTTATTTTTTTGGTTGCTGTAAGGGGGCTCGTACTTGGTGAGACAGTACCCCAGCTACTAGGGTGTGGTGCGATGCGGTGATAGCACTATCGGTTGATTTGCTTGATGGTTGTATATTGTGTTGCACGTTTGAATGTTATAAGTTTCCATGGTTGCATTGGAAATAGCTGAGATGGTTACTTCTAGCCTAAGACTTGTAGTTTAAGTGAACCAATCTGACCCTCTTATTTTTGCCATTTTTGTATTTTGTTTGTTTTTGGTTTTGTATTTAAGTGATGTTTTGATTTTGTTGATTGTGTAAGGTTGGGAAGTGTTTTGTTGTTTCCCCACCTTTTAAGAAAAAAAGGGAAAAAGAAATAAAGAGATCATGTACTGCACCAGTGCCTATACATTCATTTAGTTGAATAGCTTGAGAGGGTCTATTGCCCCTATTGGGTATATACGGGTTGGTCTATGCCGGCCCGGTTACATTTGACGTAGTCGGCAGGGTACAAGTGTCAAGGCTGTAGGTGTATGGTGCATGTTTTCTTCTTTTTTTGTTGTGTACTGGGAAAAACAGTGGTTGAAGATCTGGATCATCGTCGAGTGTTCTGAGCATCAGCCGGGAGCAGCAGATTGTCTTTTTTTTTTTGAGTTGGTAGAGATTTTTTGTTGTTGTTGTTGTTTTGTTTTTTTTGTGTTTTTTTTTTTCCTCGTAGTATGGCGGAGGAAATGGAAGCACAATTGCAGGCATTAACGGAGTTGGTACAACAACTACAGTCAGAAAATGCCAGGCTTAGAGAAGAGGCCACTCAAAGAGTGGTAGTGGCCCCTGCTAATGATTTGTTGGAGGGTTCTTCCTCTCTGCCGATTTCTTTGACTAATTATCTTCCAACTCCTGTGTCTGTTTCATCTCTTCCTGTGGTAACCGAGCGATATGTTTATGTCCCAAGGGAAAGAAAGTGTCCACGTTTCTCAGGCAAGGTTTCCCAGGATTCTGGGATCTGTTTGCTAGATACTGGCTCAATGGTGACCACTCTCATTGAACAGTTTGTTTTTTTTAACATCTTCAGCCAGCTTTGGGAACAGAGTTGCAGTCTTGTAACTGGCTAAAGTTAAAGGCGGTTAATGGTCTCGCTATCCCGTATTTGGGTTATTTGGAGGTAGATGTCCAAGTATTGGGTAGGTTGCTTCCTAGTATGGGAATCTTAGTAGTGAAGAATCCATAGGAAGTGCGTGGTCAAGGACAACATGGCCAGATTCCCGGCTTGTTAGGAATGAACGTGATCAATCAGTGTTATCAAGAGCTATTTATACAGCATGGAGATTCTTTGTTTCAAGCTCCAGGTGTACAAGCTTTGGAAAAAGAATGGAAGAAGGCACTGGTTGAATGCAGACAGCTTGACCGTGTCCTTGAGACAGGGTTGATTGGCCGTGTCCGGGTTCATTCTGGACCTGCTGTTCTGGTCCCAGCTGGTACTCTAAAGTTTGTTCCTGCTATTTGTCACACTGGTTTAGTATCTACATTTTCCTCAGGTTTGTTGGAGCCTTTGCCTTTGGAGAATTGTCACTTACCTTGTGATTTGATTATATCTTCTGCCTTTTTGCCAGTTTCTCAGGGGAGGTTGGAGGTACCTGTTGTAAATGTGGGGACTCATGATCGGTGGATTCGGCCTAAGGTAGTTCTTGGAGAATTTCATCTAGTGTTATTGCAGCCAACAACACCGGTACAGTTCAATGCACAGAGATCCACTGGAGAACAGGTAGCTATAGTTCAAGTGGTGGCGGTAGAAGAACTCCCTTCAGTGGATTTTTCACAGTTGGGTTGGCCGAATTTGTCTTCTCAGGAAGAATTGGAGGCCTGTAATCTTCTGGAGAGGTATAGCGATATTTTTAGTCATGGGGAAGGTGATTTGGGCTGTACTACTTTAGTCGAGCATACAGAAAGCATACAGATGAGACTCCAGTGCGACAGCGTTATCGTAGGTTACCTCCTTCTCAGTACGATCAGGTAAAGATGCATATTCAAGAGCTGGTAGATCAAGAGGTAGTAAAGCAAAGTTGTAGTCAATATGCTTCTCCAATTGTTGTTGTGCAAAAGAAGGATGGTTCGATTAGGCTATGTGTAGACTATCGACAGCTGAATTTGAGAACTCCTAAGGATGCTTTCCCTCTCCCATGGAAGCTTTGGCTGGGGCTAGGTTGTTTAGCACTTTAGATCTAGCTAGTGGATACAACCAGGTTCCCGTAGCCAGTCAAGATCAGGAGAAGACAGCGTTTTGCACTCCCTTTGGGCTCTTTGAGTTTACGAGGATGCCCTTTGGGTTTTGGCTTCTTTCCAGCAGCACTTGGAGAGGTTATAAATGTTGTTGGGACGTCTCCAACAATACCATTTGAAATTGAAGCTACAAAAGTGTCATCTGTTTCAGACTGAGGTGAAATATCTGGGGCACATTATTTCAGCAGAGGGGGTAGCTACTGACCCTGAAAAGGTTAGTGTCATTGCCCAGTGGCAAAGGCCTAGTAATGTGACGGAATTGCATTCCTTTTTATGTTTTGCTTCATATTATCGCGATTCGTTGAAGGGTTTGCTTCAGTTGCCGCACCCTTGCATAAGTTGGTGGGAGATCTGCAAGGTGGTAAGAAGCTGCCGGTTCGTAGAACTTTAGGCTTCTTTGAACAACATTGGACCGATAATTGTGAGAGAGCTTTTGTGACTCTTAAAGAGAAGTTGGTGCACACCCCTGTGTTGGGGTACGCAGACTTTGCGAAACCTTTCATTTTGGAAATTGATGCGAGTCACCGTGGTCTTGGAGCAGTTTTGTCTCAAGACCAGGGGGGACAGATTAGGCCTATTGCATTTGCAAGTAGAGGTTTGCGCCCATCTGAAACTAATATGTCAAATTATAGCTCGATGAAATTGGAGCTTTTGGCTTTAAAATGGTCAGTAACTGAGAAGTTCAGGGAATATTTAATGGGCAGCAAGTTTGTTGTATATACGGATAATAACCCTTTGAGTTATTTGCAAACTGCGAAATTGGCAGCTATAGAACAGCGCTGGCCTTCTCAGCTGGCTCTTTTTGATTTTGAACTTCGGTACCGACGAGGGGCAGCTAATTGTCACGTCTTCCCTCACCCACTAGCAGTAGTCAGATGATTAGTAATGCCGGGACTGTAGTTCCAACTGAGGTAATTGTGAGCCAGCAAGTTTTGAAGGCAAATCCCTTTGTCGTTAAGGCTTCAGCTGTAAATGCTGTACCGATGCGAGAGAAAGGTGATCTCTCTGCACTGCAGGCCTCAGATCCAGTGATTGGAATTTTCTTGAGACACTGGAGGAAGGGAACACCGCCCTTGAAGGGAGAAGTAGTCCAGGGTCCTGAAGGTCTTAGGGAGTTAGTTAGGCAGTGGCCTCGGATTAGGGAGGATAAAGGAGTATTATATCGAAAAGTACAGCTTCCACCGTAGGAGAGTCTGTCTTACAGCTATTACTTACTATTGCTTTACGGGCTGAGGTTCTTAACAATGTGCATAATAACCACGGTCATCAGGGTGTCGAGCGAACTATGACCTTGCTAAGGGAAAGATGTTATTGGCCAGGAATGTGTAAGGATGTTAAACTGTGGTGTAGTGAATGTGAGCGGTGTGTACTGGCTAAGGCCATACAGCCTAAATTTCGCACCTATATGGGAAGTCTTACTGCATCAAGACCCCTAGAAATCATTGCCATTGATTTCACTCTCATGGAATGGGCTAGTAATGGTCAGGAGAATGTTTTGGTGGTAACAGATGTGTTTTCCAAATTTACTCAAGCCTTTGCCACCTCAGATCAGAGAGCAAAGACTGTGGCTAATATACTTGTGGAAAAGTGGTTTTGTGTGTATGGCGTTCCTAAGCGTATACATTCTGATCAAGGCTGTGGCTTTGAGAGTGAGTTACTTAAACATCTCTGTGACA